TATTTTTCTAATTTGTTGGGAATATTTATCTCAAAAAAAAAAAAAAAAATGGAAGATAAAATTCCTGAAATTAAAACTATAAAAATATTATTATTGGGTAGAAAAGGAAGCGGAAAATATTCCCATTGTAATAAATAGAATTTGATTTATCCCGAATTTAATGGTTTCAGCAGCCTCAAGCAACTTACTTAATATTTCTTTTGGTTCCGTTCTAGGGTTTCCAATTCCTATAGTATCAACGATTCTGTATATTTTCTCGTCAATTAGAAAACTGCGAGTATTGGTATCTTTACTTGAACAAATAACATTATGACTTTCATCAAAATTTTTAGAACCACTGATTACACTTGCCAAGGTTGATTTTCCGTTTCCCGCACTTCCAACTAACATTACTGTTATGATCTCAACCTCTTTGCCATTTTTATTATCTCTATCGTTGTCATTCATATTTAATGATGAAACTTTGTCCGATATTTTCATTATTTATTGTTGTTAAACATCATCAAAGTCACTTATTTATATATATCACAAGGTAGGTGGTTTTTTATGTCCAGCTTTTAATAATATTTTTTCAGCACCTTCTACTTCTCTTCTAAATGATTCGTGCACATCTGAAATATATGCAGAAGAAATATCACTCCGAGATTCTGTTGAATTTATATGATCTATATTTTCAGAAATAAGGGGAGAAGATATTTGAGTAGGTTTTGATTTCGGTCTTCTTTTTCTAGATGCATGGACACCCTCCCTTTGAGAGGCTTTATTTTGGTATGTATCAATATGAGAATTAGAAACTATTTCGGGAGAAATGAAGCTCTGATTCCGAATCTTTACTTCTTCCTGCTGAGATTTTATATGAGGAGTATTCTTACTCATAATAGTTTCGCAACTATCTTGATTCAAATCATTTTCATTATAGAATTGAGGTATGGGTTGATCCCAAGCAACTCTTTTAGTTTCTTCACCTCTCCAAATCTGATAAATACGTCTTGATGATGTTTTATACTTATCCATCAAGTCATCCAAAATTTTATTCTTTGGTCCCATATTACGACATTCCATAATATAGGAATAATCTTCAGCTGAAAATATAGGTGCATCAGATTTTATACGCACTCTAACCATAGCAATGAGATATATATTTTTTTGTAGTATGTAGAATATATCGGAAAAATAGATTATATTGAAAATATAGAATAAGTTGGAAAATTTGATTATATCGAAAATATAGAATAAGTTGATTATATCAAAAATATAGTGAATATGTATATAACAGAAAGAGGAATATTTGACGTGAACCAGTAGTATGTCTGTGCCAAAAAATGGATTATATAATATGTCGGAAATATAGATTATATCAAAAATATAGAATATATAGAATATATCGGAAAGATAAAAATTATATATATTTTCGGAAAGAGGAACTTGCACTCATATTAATATTTATTCTTTTTTCCACACTACATGAATGTGATAGATGAAGAACTACGCTATGCCACAAAAATTATTTCCAATTTAAAAGATTGCAATAAATCATTGCAGGACGAATGTTCCAGTCGGGTAAAAAGTTTTGACTGGGAAAGAAAGACTTGGGCCCTAGAAAGAAAAGGTTGGGATCGTGAGTTGGTAAAAACTAATAATGAGATTCAGAAATTGCGTGATCAAGCTTTGGGAATTGCTGATGTAGCTAAGCAGTTACGAAGTGAAAATACTAACCTCATCTCTCAAAATGCTCGGAAAAATCTTTCTCTTGCCGATTCTAAGGCCAAAATTACTGCAAAAATAAATGAAATAAAAATGCTTCAGGGAAAAATAAAGTCGTTGAAAGGTGAGCTGGATTTATCCCAGAAGGAATCATCAAAAAAAGAATCCAAAATCTCATCTTTCAAATCTAATTTAGCTGAATTGGAACGAATTAAGGAGGATTTAATTTCTAAAGTCAGTGAACTGGAGCATCTGAAATTGGTGACTATATCTCGAAACTTATCTAATCAGGTAGAGTTGCCATCGGGAGAAGCAAAGCTTCGAACCTCTGATTCATCTATAATTGGTGGAGGTGATGAGGGACAGAGCACCATTGCCCCCACAATAAAAAATATAGCAAATTCCGATGTTATCTCTGCAGTTGATAAACCTAAGCCAGATTTTAGTAAGTTTTTAAAACATAGAAAAAATATGGACCAAACAGAAAGAATTGATGTACACCAATTCAGTGATACCATAAATAAGGCTAACAATGAAGCAAAACCTCAAATACCTGATTCTTCAAGATCAACTAATATGAAGTCTTCTATCAGTGAAGGTAGCCATGTTGATACCTCACAAATAGTAGAGATTAAAGATTTTTCGGAAGATACCGTTTCTAAAACCGATTTCATAACTCGCAGAGTTGCCCCTGAAGGGCCTGGAAATGATCAAAGCCACACAATTAAAACAGAAATGGCCGAGATATTGCCTGTTGGAATAATACCTATTGTAGGAAGTAATCTATTCTCACCTAAGTTTATGTATGCAGTTCTCGCTTTTTTGATACTTGCAGTTATATGGTGGTAATTAAGCCTATACGAGATGCAAGGAAAAAAGATACAGCTCATACTCTATTGTATCATTAATATATAGATTACATTATTATAGTATGATTTATGCCACGCGATTTTAGATCCTTAAGCGCATCATTCATCATTTTTACAGCTTTTTTTTCCTCCTCTATATCAAATGGTTCTTTCAACAAAAAGCAGAGATCATCAAGAGTTAATTTTCTATAATTGTCTAATAATAAAGCAGGTCCTGGAATAGTTATTCCATCTTGCCCTATTCGTTGACTTATCAAACGAGTTGCTAGTGGATTTACAGGTAGGCCTTTGCTCTGACCATCATCGTCACAAAATAAAATCAAATCAAAGCCTTTTGGTCCGAAAATTGTTATGTGATCACTATAATCACTTTGCAGTATCTTACAAATGTCTCCTTTTTTAACATTAACTTGTTTTATTTCTGGAGGGCCACGTACAGGTATGTATATTCCTTGAGAAACTTCTTCCATAATTAGCTAATATAATCTTGTCAACTCGGACGATTTTAAATGTGAATTCTAATGAAGGTTTTGTGTTGAGTAAATAGCTTTGTATACAGAAAATAAAAGCACGAAAAAATGCAATCTAAGCTTTTCGAATTAGTAGACTTTTTAGATCCAATCTTACAATATCTAGCAAATGACAAAGCTCTTTATCCTACCTTATATGTTAACTGGTTTTGGTATTGCATCGCAGGACAAATCCTATGTAAGCATATTGAATTGGATTATATGCGACAAGCAAAGTTTATAGAGATATGTGAAAATTTGAAACCATTCCATGGATCAAGCGTAAGGAATCTTATTTTTTCATATTGCGATAGTTTGTCAGATAAAATCAATGGAATTATTCAATCACACAAAAGCGTGATAAATTTTTTGAATAAAAAAAGTGAAACCGGGATTATACATGGATCAAGTAGCTGAGAATTTATTCCCTATTTGAATCTAAAAAGTTTTGATTCTACAATGAACTTCAAATCTCTGTCTCATCGAAAAGTATATTAAGTTCATAATCCCTACCAAACATTTCCTCTATTTCATATAGCGACCAGGGATGCAACCAGTCCTCACTATTAACATGTTTAATACGTTTTAATACATTGCCTCTTTCTCTTCTTCTGATTAATTTATTTCGTAACATGCATCTTTCTACTTCTACTAGTTTATAGAAGAATTCATTACATTTCTCATCTAAAAATCTCATTTTGTTGTTGTGTTTTTTATAGTCATCAGTATCCATGCAGTTGCTAAATCGCCTACCCTCTTCTTCCCAACATTGTTCTTTAAGCTGTATCTCCATATATCTTACTGACACTGTTTTCCAATATTGATTTTTAAACTTTTCGTGCCTCATATGCAATTCAAGTTTCACTTCCTTATTCCAAATATGATTAATGCATAAAGCTATGCTAAGACTAACCAATGGGAGTTTTTGAACGATTATTGTGATCGTATCCGGAAGCAGAAGTGGATTATACGAATGCATGTTATAGACTCTTTATAACTAGGTAAGTGTGTGGAACAAAGAGGTATAAATTACATATATAGAGAATTCAAAACTTTAAGTAAAAATTCATGTGATGGAATTATGGCGCAAAAGCGTGAAATTTTTCGGTAGTACACCAAAGATCAAAATTTTTGATCCAGTAATACGCAAAGGTATCCAATTTTTTGATTCAGTAGTACGTAAAAGTATGATCCAATTTTTCGATAGTAAAACGACAAAGCATAGGATGATTTTTTACATGGAGAGGTAATACTCCAAAGCACCAACTACACGAGAAAGGCTTCCAGAGACCCAAAACATAGCATACTCGTGGTAGTACGTCAAGGTATAATTATTATAGAAATATATATTATAGAAATTATGCTTTGGCGTACTACCAAGTGAGATAACAATTCGGCACTTTTTGCCTCATCCTCGATTGGTATTCGAATGCATCTAGAATTTTAGTTTTTTAATCAATTTTTTGACATGGAAAAATGATACTCAAAAAGTCCATCGTTATTGACGTTCATAACGATCACTAAAAGTATACATAAAAATCAGACTCCACAATGTAGCAATCGAATTCATCATAAAAGCCAAAATAAGTATTTTCCTGGAGTGATACTTATAGATGACCGTCAACACGTGTTGACGATGGACGCGAATGCTACATGGCGGAGTCTGAAAATGTAGAATACGATCAATGCATCATTGACCACAAAATAGTCTATTTTATGA